TAATTGGGAATCATGTAACAAATTAAAATTAAATAAAACAGTGCACATTTCATTTATCTATTATAACATTTATGTAGTTTTGTTCGCTTGGCTGTTTCCTTATCAAAGTTCAAAAATTGGTCAAGTTTTTCGTAAGGTGTCTTTTTTAAAAAATTATTACTTCATAATTGTATTCGAGTCTTACGCACATGCTATACAGATAATGTAGAGTCGTGCATTAATTTGAGAGATGACAGATATTATGGGAGTGGCTTGATGGAGCACAGGAGATGCAGATAACATGATCTTGACCCTTAAGAAACTTGAATTAATGCTGTCACATAACAAATCTGTTCAAATATAAAATTTAATGAATTGCTAATTACATTTAAATAAAAATGTAAAATATTAGAAATCGTGAATATAAATAATTGGGAATCATGTAACAAATTAAAATTAAATAAAACAGTGCACATTTCATTTATCTATTATAACATTTATGTAGTTTTGTTCGCTTGGCTGTTTCCTTATCAAAGTTCAAAAATTGGTCAAGTTTTTCGTAAGGTGTCTTTTTTAATTATATGATATGACTACATTGCAGTCTTGCCGCCAGCCAATCACTGCATTGCTGGTCGTGGTTTCGAGTATCGATACATAGCCCCTTTTAAACCAACCTATGGACGTGCAATTATCTCAGATAACTCAATCCAGCCAGACTAATCATCAACAACAGGTGCGTTCGAAGAACCGAATTAGCCAGATCCTGATTAGCGCGATGATATCATCTCGGACGTAATAAGCGACGTACGAAGAACGGGCCCCAGATTTGAACCTCCTAAGAATCATACATTTCTTTGTTCTTATTTCTTTGTTCTTGCTCTTGTAGCCTTTGCTGCCATCTAATGTACTAAGCAGACAGCTCACAATGGAAAGAGTACATAAAGTTAACCATTTCTGTTTTTTTTTTTCTCTCAAGAGCTATCCATCTTGTTCTCAGACATTCAAACATGCATCAGAGCAAACACTTGATGGCATTTCCAGTTTTAATTGTTGACATTTAATCACATTCATTTTATTATACAAGTCTTTCTCTTCAAAAGTTTATATGACTGAAAATAACATTCAACATGGGGCATGCCTGCTTTGCATTGTAAGAATGGGGAAGGGTTGCGACTGCAACATCAACAGACTATAGGAGATCTCCGATCTGTTTATCGAGACCACAATGTCCATCTAATGGAATGACTGTCAAGGCATTGCTCTTTCTACAAATGGCTGTGGCAAAAGTAGTGTCTGTTGCGCCAACACAAACGAACACAGGAGAAGCTGACTGCAACTGCATACCCATATATGTTATGTACATAAACAGAATTACATACTTACAAGAAAATGTAAATACTGTATATAAAGAAACAATCAAAATATCGAATCGAAATCGGAATTCTTGAGACGAAACATTAACATTAACACATCTTTTCATCAGAGAGGATAGAAACATAGAGTGTAAATCACCTCATCTGAGCATTTTACAAGTCCATCTCTGTGTGGTAGATTCATACAGAGGGTAAGACAGTTTGAGAGCGAGACAGTTTGAGGAGCTTTAGAAATGCAGTCTCCGGCAAAGAGTCCATGCATGGGCAGCTCTCGTTCTCGCTCTTTAACTCTGACACATTTGAGATACATTCACATTAATGTACAGTACATCACAGTCATTGAGCTTTGCCCAAGCTTTATTATGACAACGTAAATCTACCGCCAATAGGACAGGTCATTCGATAAGGTCACTGCGAAACCCTCTTCAAGTGGAATACCATCCCACGTTTAGATGAGAAACTGAATTAAAATCACTCGATGAGAGGTTCAATGTTGGTTTCATGGAAACAAAAAAACTGAAAGGTTTAAACTATTTCCCGTTTAGGGCAATAAGCACATTCAGTCATTATACATCTTGGAAATTTAGCAAAATCATGATTTCACATAGGGACTTACAGTACTTTCAGATGATTGCTCACCTCATTACAATTTCAGTGCATTTAACCTGGGTCTAACATGTAACTCAAGGGCTGATTTCCCTTGATGATGAATGAAATTAATGAGGTGTATGGAACGTTTAAAAACATAAAACAAATAAACCAAACAACAAAACAAGCATTTACACTCCAAAGTGGCCCCACGCAATCAAAGTCAACACGGGATTCTAGTTAGTATGTGCTACTGTACCTTTAAATTTCCACTATAGCTACACGTTATTTTAAAAGAGAGTGGACAAAAATCACTTATGGCACAATCAAGTTCTCTATGATCCCACACCTACAGACAAGATGACTAGATATTTTTTTCCCTCAAGCCTGGTTTAAACACACATATAGCGCGAATGTCTATCAAGATGAGGCCTGAGAAAGACAGTAAACCCACTGCTGATCCAGTCCTTTCTGAATGCACACACAACTGTGACTTGTATCACAGAACATGTTCGTGAACAACTCAAACAAATTCTGATATGACTCCATTAGCTGTTATTGCAAAATGTTTATCATACCACAATACCAAAATATAGATGTTAAAAACTAGATCGATCCTCTGAAAAGTGTCTAAAAGTGTCCAAATAGTTAATCATCGCATTCTTAAAGTACAATATATATGTGATTGTGAGTGTAATGTTGATTTTATTTGGATTTACTATATGGCAGCAATATTGTACTGAACTGCAAGGCTCTCAAAATGAAAACGTCACAACGATGTAGCATATAATCTTTACATCATTTATTTTCACTTTTATTTTTTAATGTGAAAATTTTGGTGATACAAAAATAAATCACATTTATTACTCTGAACATTTTCCTTAAATAAGATACTGGTACCTGACCCTTAAAATATTTTCTCTCAGTTATGGCTCCTGGCAAAACATCTAAATCTACTGGGATGCCGTTAGTTTCCAGTGGAATTAAAATAGTAAGTACAACATTAGATATTTCTAAGTTATCAGTTATGATCAACTTTTTGCTAAAAATATGTGTACAATAAGTAAGGCCCACAAAGCCCTGCACTCAGAACAATATGGCTGCCAGTAAGATTTTGAAAAACTGGGTCTACATCCACGCCCAGCAAATAAGATAAAAACCTCTGCTCTTGGAGGTCCCTAGCAAAATTTTCATAACTTCAGAAATGTATAGCTACATCAGTATCGTTGGTGAAAGATAAATTCATTTGAGGGCTGAATTAACAATCATAAGAAAGCAAAAAGCTAAAATTGAAAAACAAAAGATGTGTAACTATTTTAGAACACCAACTGTGTTATAAAAATAGCTGATTTATGAAATTCCAATGAAAAACAGCAGTAATGATAGAGACTATAAAATATCACCTTTAACTAATTACTATAGATTCAATGGGATTTCATTGGGAATACACTGACATGTCTAGTTTTTTTTAGTGTACTTGTAGACAAAATATTATCAAGCCCTGAACTGATCATGATGTAATTGTAAAGAACAGCTGCATTTATGTTTTACATGTTGCTGATTGTTAGCCCTAAAATTCAACATTTACCAATGGCACATAGTTCAGTGATATCATTATATTTTTTGGCACAATATGTTCAAATACAGTTATTATTCAACATGAAACTGCAGTTTGAAAAAGACATTAAATAATACCAAGGTAGATTCTGTGGTTTCCCATACCACCTTTGGTATCTCTAAAACGACTAATCTAACAACATGTTATCTACTTTACGAATAATTCAAATACAAAACAATAAATTAATTAATAAATAAACGAACAAACAGCTAGATAGATAAATAATTCTAAATTAAATAAATATGTTTTGCCTCATGATTCCTGGCATATTTTTTAAGATATAAAAAATAATTAACATTCTTACCTCTCAATATGCATATGGTGCTTTACGTAGCTTTACAAAACATAGATGTACACAAATACACTCTGGGATTCACAGAGAATTGTCACTTTCAGGTATATTGTCACTGGGGATGTGAGAATAGCAGTTTTTTTACTTTAACTATTTAACTACTTTTACTATTTTTTGTTTTCTTTTTTCCTTGAAAATATTTATTTACTTGTTTTCAATGCAAATATCCGCTTTAAATCGCTCCTTCCGTTAAATTTCTGGAAAAATGAAAAACAATATCTGACCGTGTTCTGAGAAAAAAAAATAGCAAAATAAAAAATGACTATCAATGGTGCGAAGAGCAAAAGCTTGAGCAGATACTGAACAAAATAAGCTAATTTCTAGATCAGAATGATCCTCCCTTCCCATATGTTTTGCTGGGCCGAAGTCTGGATTTTAGCACTCAAACGGAGCACTTGAAAACATAGAATTCTCCATTTCAAAATCACCACAAACCCAGAGATACTATGGATCATGTTCTGAATAATTACTTTAAATTGTGTAAACTTTCATTTGCCATAACTTAGTGGGAAATTATGAAATAACGGGAGGCTCAGTTACAATTTGAGAACTATAAGTGCAAACTGAATTGATCGAATCAATTCCTGAGGATAGGAGAATCAAGAGGCATTCAAATACTGAACAATTAGCTCTCTTCATCCTCATTGCAGCCTCCACATAGCTACATATGGGAACTGAAATAGACAATGAGAGAGACTGCTGGAGTATCTTTATCATGATGAAGATCTTGTCTTCAGTTAGTTGCAGAAGAAACTAGATCTATTTTGATAATTATGAAATTATCTTAAATGTGGTAATAAAACACTTATGGTGGTTTCAAGTCTGTTCTGCTCAAGTGTCAAAATACTATGCTGCCTTACTGAAAAGTAAAGAAATAGTTCACCTAAAAATCATCCATTCATCTTAATATCACTCAAAATAGATATGATATTTTAGATATCTAGCAGGCTGCTGTCTTTTGTTTTTTTTTTGGGGGGGGGGTGAACTATCCCTTTAAATCAACAAACAATAAACGACAAATATAAAAAACAAACAAACAAAACTTAAGACACACTTTAGAAACACTGCAGGTTGTTTCCTAATAAAGCATTTTTTTCTGAACTTAATTCTTTGGCCCAAAGCCCAGACAGCAACCCAAAATCACGGTAATAAGTAGTTAACTATCATCTCCCAACCTTCCCACGCAAAATGCGAGAAAAAAATAAATAAAATGCTCAGTGTTTGGCTCAATGGAGTTACTATTTCATCAAGCAGCAGTTGGTATGAGTGTAGAAAATGAGAAAATAGAGGCTTCACTATAATGGTGGGAGGAAAATACCACCAAAACTCTCTTTCCTGAACATTTTCCCTCATTTTCATTTCTGTCATACCTGTAACTCTCTTTCCCCTCTCACAGAGGCAAGTCGGTACTGTTGTGGCGTGTCTTCCGTGAGGTGCCGTCATCCCGAGGGAGAGCCTTCTGTAGGTTTGACATGGCTGCTGTCTTCTTCAGGTCGATCACGGCATAGCATTCTCCACGGCGGGAGGACGGAGCCGCTGCGGTGGCAGCCATGCCACGTTTGAGGGGAGGAGGTCTCTGTGGTACCGGAGCCCCTCCTCCGTGTCCTGAGCAACCGGAGGGCTCACCCTCCAGGTCCACCTGGATGTAGTTGAGCTGGCGAGAGGGAGGAGGAAGTGGGTGACGGCTGTGCTGCTCACAGGTGGCACTGCCACGTCCCGCTCGCTGACGTCTGAAGTCGAAGTTGAAAACCCGGTTGGCCCTCTCAGGCGGGTGAGGGTGGGGAGGGCAAGCGTGACGGAGACGTGTTGAAGGCTGTAGCTGTTAAGAGTTTGCATGCAAGTACGTTTCAGTGCTACTAGTCACAGGGTTTCCATTGACCAATGACTTTCTATGATTTTTTTATTATTTAATACAGATTGGACTCTTAAAGAACAATACCTACCCAATTACATTATTTCAGAGCTAAGCATAATTATAAAAGTATATACTCACTCTATACATTTTCCTGACTATATAATCATTTTATAATTACTATACAATTAATTATATTCAATTTTCACATTTATTATATTTTATTGAAATGTGATATGTAATTTATATGCCATTTTATAAATTTCTATTACTGTCCAGGCCTGGAAATAACTGTTTTACAATTCCCTGATATTTCCCTTGAATTAGATTTGGAATATTCTTTACATGTATTTGCTTGTGCTTTTGTTTACACACATATTTAGTGTTAGAAGTGACAGGGATTCCACACTTTCTACAAAAATTATTTTACACAGACTGCACTCTTAAAGAGCAATATCATAATTTAGTGCTAAGCAGAGCTATTTAAATAAATATTCACTCTAGAAATGTATTTATTATGTATGTATTTACTTACATAAATACTTACATAAATTACTATTATTAGTATGTATTATTTACTTTGTATTATAATTTTTTATAATAAAATATATTTCTTATATATTATTTGTAATTGTATTATATTTGATTGACATATTTCATGTATATTCAATATTCATATAAATATCTATATAAATATAAAATATATTTATTACATTTTATTAAATGTTTTACTTTTTAATATATATATATATATATATATATATATATATATATGTTGGGCAGTAACGCGTTACGAATGTAATTTGATTACTTTTTTAGTAACGGAGTAATTTATCGCGTTTTAATTTTCAAAATAGTAATTAAGAGTATAGTTACAAGCTGAGGTCTCTATACGTTACTGCCACGTTACATTGCTTACAGAATGCAGTGTTTTCTAATCTAGAGATTGTAAAAAGGATGTAGCACACGCACTTTCGAGTCAAGTGCTAGTGGATTAGAGACCTTCTCCCGCGAGACCCGACACAACAGTATGGAAGCCCGTTTCCGCCACTAAATAAAAAAATATAATTCTGTAAGTCATAATAATGAGAAACTAAGTCATTATTTCGAGAAACTA